GAATTAAGCCTCAACTATGCAAATTACAGTTTTGTACCTAAACATAATATATCTTTAGATTTATAACCTAAATTTATTTTTGTGAAATATAAGTCCTCAAAATATTGATTAAACAATATATTTTAGTACCTAAAATTTTTGTGTATTACATTTTGGTACCGAAACTTTTGAAGTTCTAAAGTCTAATTTTGTATGTGTAATTAAAATACCCTCGAATAAATGGGTATCCATACCCAACTCATACAAAATTAGATTATGCAAGTAAATATCCATACCCTACGCAAACCCATCTACAAACTTTCAAACTCATATATACGTCACACATACCCTACCCATAATAATCAATGGGTCTGCTTGAGTTTTGGTAAATATCATTTACTAGCCAAAATTTTCAAAAATCTTTAAATTGGATGTTGACCGCCATATATGTATTCTTAGTCAATATATCATATTATCAAGTCAATATTACTAACACTGCTAACAAAAAATTAATTTTAGCCTAATAATACTAATAAAAGGTCATAACGGGCCACATAATACATGCAAATAGGTCATCTCCGCCCGCGACAAGACGGGCATCACAACCTAGTATATGTATATATAAACAATACACAATAGGTAGAGAAACAAGAGTTCAGACGTAACACAAGTGTTTTACTTGATGAAGATTCCACGTACAGATGAGGTAGTTAAACTAAAATCCTAAATAATTTTAGTAACGTTATATCTTATTTACCAAAAAATAGGTCGGATGAATCAGCACGAGAACTGTCAAAACAAATCGGGTAATTAAATCTGTCAGATCAAAATTGTCATCTCTATTAACATCGAGAGAGTACAAAAGGTCCTTGTTATTGTCAATCACTATTAACATCGATAGAGTACAAAATTGTCATCTCTATTAAATTGGCAACTCTGCTTATTATACGTGCCAGAAGGGATAAAGCTCAAACCTCATCCGACAAGTATCACCGGTAGAGACGTCAGCACCTTTGCGGTGCTTGCAACAGTGCTGGATAGCATCTCTAGCTTGCTGAAGACAATCCGCAGCTGCGGGTTTCGCCATATCCACCCACCTGTGACCGTACATGGGCCACCCAAAGCAAGGCAGGGTAAGGTTGAAGTCGCCGCCAACGAGACGGTCGTCTGCGGACCCAGATAGGTTGCTTAGCAGATCATCCAAGCAACGAGCCCGGAGATCCTTCGCCCAGAACGAGTCCGGGTTGCAGAGGCAGTTGAATCTGAACACTATTGCTTCATTTTTGTTGGCTTCAGTACTATGAATAGTATTTAGGGTCGTCGTCATCATCATGGGGAAAACTGATGATGTGTAGAAAGTGGAGGCAATAATGGCCAGCTTCTTCCATGCTGATAATGGTGAGTCCATGGTTTTGTTATAATCCACCTCTTTATTTATTCACGACGATGATCCATATATAGCCATACAGCAGGCAGTAGCCGGGGGATACCGTCTTTGGCTTCCTACATCGTTTTTGCTGTCTGTTTGTTAGTTTGTTTGTTTCATTACTTTACTTTCTTCTGGAAAATGAATCTGGCTGCCGGTCTAACCTAGCTTGTGTCCAAGAGCAAGTTGCCGGGAAATGCTCTCTCTTTGGCTTCCTTCATGGGTTTTGTTGTCTGTTTGTTTCATTGCTTTACTTTCTTCTCGGGAATGAATCTGGCTGCCGGCTATAACCTTGTGTTGATGGATTACTTGTAGGGGTCGGATAATATGCTAACCCCTAAAGGGGTAGTGATTTTCGACACCCCTCATTTCATTGGTCAGTTGTATACTTAATTATTAGGCAAAGTATTAATGGCTGTCCCACATTGGAAAGGGAAAGAATTTGGGGAATCAGAAAAAAGCACCCCCCAAATGTGCAATTAATTGTCATTTTCTTCTTCCTTTCCTTTCGTCTCCTTCTCTCTCCATTTGGGCACCCTTTCCATTTTGATTTCATTTTAACCAGAACCCTCCTCTACTATGAAACGATCAAAACCCTCCCCCATTTTCATCTTCCTCTTCCTCCCGCAGCCGCAGCCGCCACCGCCATCACCCCTCTCCGCCCTCTTCATCCACGCCTTCCACCTCTGCCGCCTCCATCCCTCCAACCATCGTACTCCTCCAGCGCCTTCCCCCACCACCATCCTCCTATCTCCAGCCGCCGCCATCCTGGGATCGCCTCTGACCTACCTGGTGGATTGCTCGCACCAGTGGAGTGGTACGTGTACCAGTGGAGTGGTACGTGTACCAGTGGAGTGGTATTTGTATCATTGAAGTGGTACTGCATTGTTGCTCCATTATTGTTTATCATTGTTATGAAAAATATCATTGCACTGGTATTGTTCTCACTCCAACTCGTATTTGCCACTTCTAATGTACCACTTCATTTGTATTTTGTATGGGAGAAATACACTACACGCCACTAAACTATAAGAATTGGGGGAAGGATACTACTAGTGTGAAAATAGAGCACCAAATACCATTAAAGTTCCCAAAATATGCATCCATTAAATTCTTCATCAATTTGATTAACCAAATGAATACAATATATTTTTCCACCTCAAGCCTCTTTAACTTTTGTTGACACTCGACATTAAGAGTTGTTGGACCATAAATATCTTCATTGTCATTTCTCCATTTTGCAAGCTCCCTAATCGCTCTCGCTTGTAGTCCGGAACGTGCTCTACTCCCTGCTCCGTGTGGTTTGTCTTTCCTAGCGTGCATCCGACGCCGCTCCACAACTTCTCGAGTAACTCACTGCTCTGACTGAAATCAAAGAAGGTAAAATCAAAAGTCAACCCAATAAATATAACTACTGATAGATGAGATCAACAATAAGACTTTCACTGCAGATATATCAATCCATTGATAGCTCTATCCTAGAAAGTCATTCTAAACATAACTACTACGTTAGTTGTACTTTAAACAACCATAATGGTTTTATTTGTACCACTACAGTGATAGCACTACCCACAAAAACATCACAATGAACTACCACTGCAGCGATAGATCTACCACTGCAGCGATAGATCAACAACTGCAGTGATAGACACAATATGCCACAAAAACATTCACATGGTTAACTATATCAATGTGTTGATAGACTGCAGTCAAATAAACAATTTATACTTCCGTACCAGAATCAACAATTTATACCACTCCAGTGATAGACATACCACTGGAATAACATTCAACAAAAACTCAAACACTACAATTATCATTGTAGTGGTAACATTACCACAAGAAAAAACACATCTTAGTGGGTATGAGAGAGAAAAACTAGACTGATAAGGAATAGTTAAAAAATCACAAATCTAGAAAAATCCAGGATAATGATAAACTACCAGTACACTGGTACCAATACCAGTACTCACATATGAGTATAATCATAAACTACCAGTTCACTGGTATCAATACCAGTTCTACACCAAAAACCCAGATCTGGGTATGGGAGAGAGAGAGATAGTGGGACGAAGAGAGTTACCTCAGATTCTTCGTCGTCGTCGTCGCCGGGAAGGGAAGGATGGTCAGTGTAGGAAGGGGAGACGGGTCGTCATCTTTGCCGGGAAGGTGAGGATGATAATTGTCTTCTCCGTCGATCCCTTCACAGTGCCAAGCTTGTGGAAGGAGATGGAGAGTTACGGCAAGCTTAGCGTTGCTCGGAGAACACCGACAGTCACGATCTAAGACATAGCCACGATGGAGGATGCGGGACAGAGCCGGAGGGAGATGTGGACTGTGACGGTGAAGAAGCGACGACGGCGAGCAGGGGAAGAGAGAATCGAGGGAGAAAGGAGGAAACGAAAGGGAGAGAAAAAAGGGGAGAAGAAAAGGGTTTCGAATTGGGGGTGATAATCGTTTTTCCCCATAATCTTCTCTTTCCCCATATTCCTCTTTTCCGATGTAATTAATTAGTGCTTACAATGACCATTAGATTAAGCTAGCTAAAATGGACGGTAATGATACTCGGTGTCTAAAATCAGACCCCTTTAAGGGGTAGTCACGCTAACCTCTCCCTTACTTGTAGGTTTTTTTTTTGTTACAGTTCAAGTGTATTTAGATATTTTTTGGTACGGATCCTCACGGAGAAGTATCTTAAGGAGGGACCTAATGGTGTTGTTAGTGCTCGCAGGAAAACTGGGCATTCGGTGCTGTGGAGAGGGATCAGGCGGGTGTGGGACTCATGGATGGTGGAGTCCGATGGAGTGTCAGGGATGGCAGGAGGACTTCCTTTTGGCAGGATAGCTGGCTCGATAGTGGCGTGACTCTTGTGGACCACACCACCAATGTCGATGACCAATTCGCCAAGGACGCGTGTGTGGCGACAAATAATGGTGAGTGGCGTATGGACATTATTGAGAAATACTTACCTCGTGAGATGGCTTTGCAGGTGGAAGGAATGCCCATTCCCAGGGAGGAGCTCGGCGAGGATGAGTTAGTGTGGGGACTGGAGCAGTCCGGTCAGTTCTCCCTCAAGTCAGCATACCGGATGGTTGCGGAAATTGACGGAAGCGAAGCAACTTCCACGTGGAGAAAGCTGTGGAAATGGTCGGGACCCAACCGCGTCCGTCACTTCCTATGGCTTGCAGCACACGGGCTCCTGTGGACCAACACGGAGCGCTCACGCCGTCACATCGCTGCCCAAGCTACATGCCCGAGATGTCAAGCCGAGGAAGAGACGTTTGATCATGTTCTTCGCAAGTGCAACTTCGTGCAGGAAGTCTGGCGAGAGCTCCTACCATCCATGATCTCTACCAACGACACCCGCTGCTTCCAGGAGTGGTTCACAGAGGCAGTTAAGTGCCCCCAGAACTAGGTTCGTTTTGGTTTTACCTGTTGGTTTCTATGGTGTGCTCGGAATGGTATCATTTTTTCAGACATCGTAGAAGCCCCCAACAAGTTATCGCAAAGGATCCTAGCCTGGGAGGTCGTCGCTCAACAGAGTAGAACCGCGGAACACAACCTTTCACCGGGGAGGTCGGGGTCGCGTCGAGACATGGCCGTGGGGTGGAGACCGGCCCCAACAGGGTGGATCACAGTAAACTCGGACGGGTCGCTCCTACGACCGTCTGGGTCAACCGTGGCAGGAGGAGCGCTTAGAGACTGGCAGGGTCGCTTGTTGGGGGCCTATACGACGAACCAAGGAAGATGTTCCATTACCCGGGCCGAGATTTGTGGGGCACTGAAGGGCCTGGAGCTAGCATGGGAGGCATGTCATCGCCAGGTGGAGCTGCAACTGGATTCCAAGACTGCACTCGCGCTGCTTCTTGACACTGGCCGACATAACCATCAGCACGCCAACCTTGCCATCCGCTTTCAGAACATGTTGCGCAGAGAGTGGTCTGTTTGGGTCACTCATATCTATAGAGAGGCTAATTTTCTGACTGATTGTCTAGCTCATAAGGGACACACGCTGTGTCCTGGAACCAATTTGATTGATGTTACAGACTCGGATGTTTGCCGTTGGGCCCTTTTTGACTCTGTGGGTGGGTTTACCATTCGCTTGATTGCTGAATAAAAGTTTTGGGTGCTAAGCACCCATCTTTCACAACAAATTAATTTTAGATAATGCAATAAACTATATTTAATGGTTATCAATTTTCTTGAACGGTCGAACTTTGATATTTGATCGACTTTTTGTAAGGTTTTATTGCTCACGAGTCACGATTCTCTCATTATTTTAGGGGGCGTTTGCTTGATGGATTTGGGACTCAAATCCCAAGCATGATGGATTTTAGCCAAGTCTATTGTTTGTTGTCAGGTGTTAAATCCGTGGACCCCATGGACTTGTAAATCCCACATATTGGGGTGGGATTTGTAAATTTTTTATGGCTAGTTATATTTATAGCAAATCTATCATAATTATATCATCAAATCTATCATGAAAACAATATACTCTTCAAATCCATAATGGTACAAATCCCTCATAAATCCAAAAAAAAATTTGAGCCAAAACCCTCATTTTTCAAATCCAACAAACAAACGACCTCTTAATTTTTATCTACTTCAAGTCCCAGCCACTATCCATTATCCACCATCACTCACCACATTAATCCATAATTATAGAAGTGGGTGGTGTGGGTTGTGAGAGTCCGTGAAACAGGGCCAATAATGAGTATCATGGCCAACATATTTGATCCCAAGTTCTACCAAGGCCCAAGGCCCAAATGTAGGTTTTCTGAAACCATCATGTGACTGAAGGATGGTTTGTAGTTTGTATTATTTGATTTTTGTGAACAAAGACGTTCCTCTAGTCATCTACTAGGGTTAGGGATGACAATGGGATAGGTTGGGTTGGATTTATATAAGATAGCCGATAATATATCTATCATTTATGTGTTTCCTTGTCAAAGAGAGTTGGTGAATGTATTTTTTACTCAATTGCATTCTAACTTCAAAAAACAAACCAAAGTTCCATACCAAGATGTCTGATGTTAACTTAATCTTAATTACATTACCCTAATCCATGCTAATGTATATTGGTAATGAATCTCAATTTATTAACGTTACATATTTGAATGTTTTTTCAGTGCAACAAGGCGGCAGATCCTTAGACAAACATGATCAGAGTCTCATAGTCCCACAACAATACAACATACGAGCCGCCCTCTCCAATTTCCCAACCCATATAAATTAAGGGAGAGATTCAACATTGTAAGCAATGTAGAATATCCTCTTTTTTTCAACCAAAAAAAATTCTCAAACATAAATGACAATTTTCACCTTCTTATGATCATTTAGTTAGGAGCCATACCTCTCAACCCTCTCATCAATCCACTCCCTCATATCCTTCAGCACAATGTCCGCATTCTCATCAGGCTCCCCCTGTATCAACGAGTGGTACATCCCTTCATAGATCTTCAAGCTCTTGTCCTCGCTGCTCGCCTTCTCGTACAACAGCTTCGACGAACTCGGACAGGTGACCCCGTCGGCAGTGCCATGGACTGTCAGAAACGGCGCAGTGACCCTCGAGAAATTGTCCTGTATGTACTGGCACACCCTGGCAATCTCCCTCATCGTCCCGACCCGCGGCTTGCCCGCGTACCGGCGAGGGTTCGAGGCGATGATCTTCAGCTTCTCCGGGTCCTTGATGGCCTTCCCGACCATCTTGTTGTCCGGCATTGCCGCCCAGGTGTCGGCCAGGCCGAACAGGAGGCCGTACGCGAACAGGTGGAGCTTGCTGGGCTTCATGGGTTCCGGGATCACAAAGAGTGGGGCCGAGAACATCAGGCCCGTCCAGGTCGTGGGCTCGGACTGGAAGTACATGAGCATGGTGGCTAGCCCGCCCATGGACTCGCCGAAGAGGAAGGCCGGCAGGTCCTTGTATTCTTCGCTGTAACGAACGTGCTTGAAGAATGACAATGAGGTTGCAGCTATTTTTTCCATGTCGCCTGATGAATGATTGAACGATTAACATAAAAAAAAATTCAACGAGGGCAAAATCGGAAGATGGTATTAAAATTGGCACGCCACAAATATTCTCCGACGGAGAAACGACATAGATACAAACTATACAAGACCTTTGAAGGTCATGTCGCAACACGGAATCAGCGGTCCTAATATACTGTAAAAAGAGAGGTTGCACGCTGAAACGATTTAATCTCTTACAATTTATCTATGATCATACGGTTTCAGAAATATTGCAATTAGATACCGAATTCCACATTCTAAAAAAAAAAAATTGATAGACACGACAAGAAGACAAATTAGGAGGGCAAATTCGACATCTTATAGCAGCAGCTCGAATTGACTATGGAGCGATAATGGAAATGACGGCGATCAGGCAAATCAACGGTGGAGATTGGGAGGAGGAGAGAGGGAGTACCCATGTAGCAGCGGAGGCCGTCGGATCTGCCGTGGCCGAGGAGATCGGCGGCGAAGACGGCGTAACCCCAGGTGGAGAAATGGATGCAGATCTTCTGGAAGAGCCAGCCGGTGTCGGATCCGTAGCCGTGGGTCATGTAGACGGTGGCCTTGACTTGTTTGTCGAGGGGGAGAAAGCTCTGGGTGAAGAGCTTGCCGTTGGGAGTTTCGAAGTAGGATTGGGAATTCTTCACCCCTTGGGACGCGTAGTACTCGTCCTCCGGCATGTCCCCCCAGAAATTGGGCGGCGTCTCCGGCTTCTGCTCCGCCGATTCGGATGCCATGTCGTTAAATTCACTTGATTTCCGACTTCTTTGCCCAGTCGACGGAGGAAATTTGGGGGCAGGGTGGGAGAAAGAAGAAATCGGGTGCTTTGGGGTAGTTGGGGAAAGGGAAAGTCAGGAGATAAGAGATGGGAGATTAGGCGCTGTAGGTGAGTTCCACCAACCCAGTTGTGGACCTTCCGGTTGGGGTTGGGTAGTGGGTCCTACCGCAGGAGTTGGTGGGAGTTGGTGGGTCTAACCTATCACCATGGAATTTCTGAATTTCAGTCGAATTCTTTTCCCTTTTTTTTTTTCTCCACCACCTCATGAAATTGGGTATAGTAAGGCCCAAACCAAATCAGGTCACCTTTCCAACACGGTCTGAAACAAAGCTGGCGTAGCTGGGCTAGCGATGGGGCCTCATTAACGTAAGAATAACATGATTCAAGTCCAATTGTGCCCAGGACTATCTTCCGACGTTAATTTCTACCTGCTGCCCGAAAAAAGACGAAACGAAGGCCATAATCTCCGATATTCATTTAAATGGGCCGAGAAGACGTTACGAGGCCCACGGATACTTCTACAGCCCATGCAGTCTTGTCGAAGACGTGTTCTGAAACGGACAGTCTTCTTCTCCTTGTAAAAAAAAAAACAAGTTCTTCCCCTTGTCCCAATTGTGTACATTTGTACTCGTCTTTCTCCTTCAAACCTAGTAGGTATAGATGAATCAGGGTATGTAACACATGTGTAAGTCTTTCAGCCGAACAAGGTAATAAGATAAAAAGAGATGTAAGCCTAGTAAGCTGTGAGGAAGAACACGATTAAACGATTGTTTCTTTCTCTTTATTTGTCGTCAGCTTGACATGGCATTAGAGCAGTTGGTTTATCCTTAATATCATGTTTCAAGTTCTTACGATTCACAATATTAATCGTAGTCATAAAGCACATGATATAGATGGACATGTGCAAATTTCAAATTCATGAGTTAGTTGTCACTTAAGGGAGCGTATAAAGAAATAGTTAAGTACCATAATTGGAGCTCTTCCAACAAATCAAGTTATTGATACAAACTGATTCTTGACAAAGCATGCCTAGGGACAAAAAAAATTCAATGCATTGCAATTGGGAGAGTAATTTGGTATCGATACACCATTTATCAAGAAAATTTAAATGAATCATTTAATATTAGATAAAAAAAATTCAAATGATTGTCTTACCCGTAAAGGCAGCAAATTGATTATTTTTATAGATTGGTAGATTAAATTGGCGGATTATGGATTGGATTCAACGGATCGATGGATTTATAGATTAGATTGGATTATTTTGATCGTTCAGTGGATAGATCAGATTGGATTCAAATTACCACCTCTACTTACCCTCAGTCATTTACAAATAGTCATTTTTTCTCTACTTATCTATCATAATACTACCGTCACATACTCAATACTAAATTTTCTCTTATTTATCTTGACAAACTCTATGCTTTCCTCTTTTTTTTTTGCCATAGATAGATTGTAGATAGACAGTTGATTACAAAGGGTTGAAAAGTAAATAGCACAGGTTTTGTGGGTTTTGCACCTCGTTCTCCATAGCCCGTCGAATGACCAGTTGAGAGTCACCACAAAAACAAACATTGTAATATCCATGATTTATGCACCATAACATTGAATCACGAAGTGCAAGAAGTTCATCAAGAAAAGGGTCGCTCAAACCTGGATAAAACTTGCCATAGGCACATACCAATGTCGAACCTGCTGCAAAACCCACAAAACCTGTGCTGCCACCACTATTAACGCTCCATCAAATCGTAGTAGAAGGCCTCCTGGAGGATTTGATACAAGGGGAGGTTGAAGCGGGGGCTGTCTCCTTGCCATGGAATCTCTCTGCTGTCCGTACGAAACCTCCTTCCACTCATCCACTGGCACCATGAATTGTCGATGAAGTGCTGGGGTAGAAACTGAATATGGTCATGGACAGAGCAACACCTTCCTTTCCATATGCGCCAAACGAGGAAGACAATTTCAGCAACCTACACTTTTGACAGCTGAGAATTAAAGAAAATATGGTGCCAAGCTTCATCCAAAGGTAGCTGGCTGACTGCTGCGCAGATTGATTCGTGTCCGGCTAGCTCCCATACTCCCTGAACTATCATGCAAGTGAAGAAACAATGGGAAAAAGATTCAGTCCCATCCGAGCAAATAGGACATACATCATCATCACAATATGTTTTATGTTTTCGCACAACACACAAAGGAAGGAACCCTCACACAAGCCTCCACAAGAAGAATTTCAATTTCGGAGGGATGGGCAAGTTCCACTGGAATTTCCAGAATTTAGAATCCAAGAGCATGGGAAGAGGATCGAATCCTGATGAGCGTTCATCCGACCGAAGCTGGTATCCCGACTTCACAGTGTAAATACCATATGTTGAGTAGTGCCAGATTATTCGATCCGGAACAGGAGAAGACGGCAAGGGAATTGATAATATCCATCCGATGTTGTCAGCTTAAAAGAGGCTTCGGAGAAGCTCCAGGTTCCACGTTCTAGTGATCCGGGAAATGAGAGATGCCACATAAGGGTTTGGGAGTGAAACTCCAGGTGACAACTTTGGCTACGAAGGTGGAGAAGTCGGAAGCCAGGGCTGATTCAGAATATCAATGGCTATTCCGCATCCCACCAGCCAACGAAGACCCTTACTGAGTAGTTTTCGTCCTTCCAGAACACCTTGCCAAGCCCAAGAAGGCCTTGTCCCCACCGGAGCATTAAGGAAGGAGCAGCTATGGTGATATCTAGCCTTGTACAGCTGAGCAAGGGTGGAAGATGGAGCTTGAACAAGCTTCTAAGCCTGTTTCGCAAGCATTGCTATGTTAAACATGTCAAAATCCTTGAAGCCAAGTCCACCCTGGAATTTACTAACACATATCACCGGCCACGAAATCCAATGAATACTATTTTCCTTGTCCTGACCCGATCCGACCACTAGAATCGAGCCAGCTGACTATTCAGGCGACGACAGCTTGGAGAGGGTAACCTGAAGGAAAGCATTATGTACACCGGCGTGTCCGAACCTACTAACTTGATCATAACCTGTTTGGTTGCAAGGGAAAGAGCTTTTGACTTCCATCTGTGAATACGCGCAGCGAGAGCATCTTCCACGTACTGAAAAGTTTGGACCTTCGATCGTTGGACTTGAGAAGGCAAACCCATGTACTTGTCTAAGAGACCTGTCGAAGTAATGCCCAGCTGCCCAACAATCTGTGAAGCCTCCTAAGCTGAAACATTAGAGCTGAAGTAAACATATGACTTAGAGAGGTTCATTTTGTCCCACTCGTCTGTTCATAGAGATGAAGGAGGTGAAGAAGGGAGCATTCTGGGGAGGAGGCCCGCAAGAAGAGATACGAGTCATCCGCAAATAGGAGATGAGAGATCGACGGGGCGTGACGATGGATCTTCAGTCCATGGAGCTGATTATTGTTTAGAGCTCCGGAATTCATGGCAAAGAAAGCTTCGGTGTATATTGCAAATAGCAAGGGGGAGAGGGGATCCCCTTGACGAATACTCCTTTGAGGTCTAAAGTACCCATGCTCAGTTTCGTTCAGAATCAGAGGAAACAGTAGTTACACAAGCTAGGATCCACTTCATCCACTGTGCATTAAATCCCAGAGCCTCCATAACTACAAACAGAAAATCCCATTCGACGCGGTCGTAAGCCTTTTACATGTCTAGCTTTACAGCCATCCACTTATCCCAGCCCTGAGACTTAGTCTTGAGATATTGCATAACCTCCTGAGCGATAAGGATGTTATCCGAGATATCTCTACCCTTAACAAAACCATTATGAGACACTTATAATATCCGGTAAGATCGAGCGAAGGCGGCCTGCCAAGACCTTACCTAGTACCTTGTAGAATACCTGACACAATCCGATCAGTCTCATTTGCTTCATGAACACCGTGTTGTGAACCTTCGGAATCAAAGTCAGGAGCGTGTGGTTGAAGTTATGAAGTAACCGACTAGACCTGAAGAAGGAGAGGGTTGCTGTCGTGACTGACTCCCCAATGATATCCTAGTAGAAAAGAAAGCCCTAGTATAACCATCCGAACCAGGTGCCTGATAAGCCCCAATGCTGAAAACCGCCTTCCGTATCTCAGTCTTGTAACTGACATGAGAGGATGCGATTATGTACTTCCGAGACCTTCCTAGGGAGTCCAAGGACAGCTAGGAGGAAGTGAGGAGAGTTGCCATTGGATGTGAAGAGCTGCTGGTAAAAGGATACTGCCACAGACCCTTTAGCATCCTCATCATAATGAACACCCCCATTCTCGTCACAAAGCACTTCTATGAGGTTCTGCCGACAGTGTTGTCGTACTTTGGAATGAAATAAGTTGGTGTTGGCATCTCCCCTCTGAAGCCAATCCACTATGGATTTCTGTTTCCAGTAAATTTTTTCATGACGATAAGCATATGCGAGCTGGATCTCCAGACCCTTGATTGTTTCCCAGTTAACATCAGCCAGGTCCCGCTCGGTCTCAATAGCAGCTCAGAGTTCCCGGATTTGACGTGCCGAATTTGTTGTACCTTTGCTTGCCCACTCTACAAATTTATGGCGGGCAGCTTTGAATGCTGAAACAGCTGGAACTAGGGGGTTCCTGAGTACAGAGATTGTCATTGCTGACTGAAAATCTCCTTCGCTTCAGTATTGCAGCACCACCGTCAATCAAAGTGAAAGCGAGGCTTTCCATTTCCAGCGCCAGGAACGAATTGCAGAAGTAGCATCCGATGATCTGACCCCAAGTCAGTTAGATGAGTAACCTGCATATTTGGCCAACCACCCATCAAAGCATTATTAGCTAACCCCGATCAAGTCGTTCTAATATATGTGAATGTAATCCCTGTCGGTTAGACCAAGTAAAAGGAGATCCCTTAAAACCCAAGTCTACGAGACTAGTAGAATCAAGAAAGGAATGAAAATGGCTCATAGCATCAAAGGAAGGAAGACGCCCTCCTATTTTTCGGAAGCAAACAAGATACCATTGAAATCACCAATGACAACTAAGGGAGATGCACACGACAAGACCAAGGAGACAATTTCATTAAATTGATCAATTCTAAACTGTACATCGTAGTGAAGATGGACAAAGATAACCCCTATAACTCCCCAAACAACATGCTGGCATTCAACAAACAGGTAGAATTCATATTCACCTA